TTAAAAGTTATTTATTATGTACGCTGAGTTATGAGTGTACATCAATGAGACCTTCAAACAGTGACCATGACTTTTAGGGGTAATTTTTCGTTTGGGTCGTTGTTTGGGTGATGAACCAGGGTCGAGCGAGCATTATGACCGGTTACGATTATCAAATAAATAATAGTTTAAAAAAACTAACAAAATACGCTTTTATAGAAAATCCAACGAAAAAATTATTTTATTGTAAAAAAAGCGTGGGGTGCTGGTATCAGTAGTTATAAATATTTTATGAACAGATATGAGTATGAGCCTTAACGCGTTCGTCGCGTTGGCGATGTGCGGCACCATTTAAATAAAAACCACTTCTAATTATGTATTTATGTTAACATTGAAAGCCTCTGCTAGCTCAACGTTAGTTTGAGTATCGTCAGCTTCTACTATCACCTTTGATTTATCTTTCACCATCCTGTTTATTATAGTCGCCAAGCAGTAATGCAACTAAAGTCCTGTTTGAAGGATGAGACAGTCGTTGTGCATGAAAATTGGGACTAGAACCTCATGCCTCACTCATGGCAGGAAGCATTAACGTTGTTACGTCTATTAGCTCCAGTATCCAGTAACAGGCCGGTCGTGAGATCTGACCTATTTAGATAGAAAAAAAAGTTTGTTTGATTGGTTTGCTTCTCAAGTTTTATTCTAAGCGAGCGAAGCCGCGTGCTTTTCTGTTTACAATATAATTGTTTCTTTGCTTCGTCTAGCGCTTCTCAGGCAGCCTCTCACGACACATCTGCAAGCGTATGTTTAGTTAGTCGCGAGACTTACAAAAAAAATATTTTTATTCTAACTGTACATTAACTACGATTAACAAAGTAATGATGTAGGATTTAAAGAATATTTAAATGCCTGCCTTTATTTCACCTATCAAAATGTTTGCACGTAAATATGTGTAAGGCTGTCGTTGCGAGTTTGTATAAACAGGTACATGTTATTGCATCACTGGTTAAAAAAGTTTGAGAGCCCTCGCCTTAGTTGATTGTTGTTGACAGTTCATAGAAGTGTGACAGTTGACAGTCGAACGCCGCCATTGTGCTTAGGGTTTTTGAAACGCTCTGTCACAAGCTTTGTAACAACAGAGCCACGGATGTTTTTATTGTTTGAATGGGATAAGTTGGTGTGTAGTTGTCGCCGGAGCCCATAGACATCAACAACGTATATGACATTAATCAACTTGATATATGAGCTTTAAGTCTTAGCTTTACAGTACAGCGGCTTCTACGGCTGCAACGTTTGCCGATAGAGGTGCTATTCCAACTACATACTAATTGAAGTTAACTTTTACGCGATCGAGAAGTTAAAAAACTCGCGATAAACACACAGAACTCATAACGTGGGCAAGGGGTTCTAATGCATAAAATGAATAATGCATATGAATGGCTTGTGTCGCCATCTACCGGGAGACTATAAATTAAATACTGGTTTTAAATCTTAAATTCGAACGTTAAAATTAAAAGATTTTGGCAAAGCACCAAGCTTCTTAGTTTAAATGCGTATCGCTAGATGGCGTTAGCGGTTAATGCAAAACAAGCCCAGCTATTTTGTTTACCTTCGTAAGTTTATTTTTAAAACAGAGCATTTATAAGTAGCCTAGGAAGTAATGTAGAGAGCTCTCGTAGAAAAAACTAAGCGCCTCCGCCATCCAACCGATACACAAACGACATTAAACTTTTCCATCAGTGAAACCGTTTGAATTTTCACCGTGGGAAAGTTCCAAGTCGATCATTCTTTTTCTAGATAATGGCTTTTAGAGTGGGTGAATTTATTTACGGTCGCCCGAAGACGTATCGTATTTAAAATATTATGACATTAATTAAGAATCGTCGAAGAAACATTAACGTGTTGATTTACGTGTCTCGTTTTTGTTACTCTCGAATTTTTATTGAGACTAACGTTGTTGCTTTTGCTATAGCCGTCCAAATGCCGGGATATTTTCTGATACATTAGTACTGTTGGAAAGTCTCTATTAGTCCCAGGGTCAAAGCATAGCTGAGGCTCACCGACACTGAGGTATCATCATTTCATTAACAGCTTAACCTCACCTCCCGCCATCGGATCAGTCTTCATCCATATTATCTGGAACCGCTGCGTTCATCGACAGTGCGTTTCCAAAGATCTTTTTTGCCACGTACCATCCGGCTTTGGAATGAGCTCCCCTCCACGGTGTTTTCCGAGCGCTATGACATGACCTTCTTCAAACGAAGCTTGCGGAGAGTACTTAACGGTAGGCAGCGGCTCTGGCTCTGCCCCTGGCATTGCTGACGTCCATGAGCGACGGTGACCACTTACCACCAGGTGGGCCGTATGCTCGTCTGTCTACAAAGGCAATAAAAAAAAATATTAATCGAAAGATAAGTATAGACACTCCACGTACTGTAGTAGTATTTATGTTCGTAACTTTTTCGTTGTGATGTCTGTTCTGCTATGGAATGCTCTTCCTCCCGAGATCAGGGCAATTACTAGCCGGTGCGCGTTCAAGTTAAGGGTTCGGCGAATGCTGTTGGAAAAGTTAGCGGAATCGTCATTAACTTATTAAGATGAAGTTATTTGTTAAGTTAATTTATTAATATAATCCTTTTAATACTGTATAAGCCATTATATGTATATTTATATGTATATGTTTCGGTTTGAAGGGTGAGGCAGCCGTTGTAACTATACTGAGACCTTAGAACTTATATCTCATGGTGGGTGGCGCATTTGCGTTGCAGATGTCCATGGGTTCCAGTAACCACTTAACACCAGGTGGGCTGTGAGCTCGTCCACCCATCTAAGCAATAAAAAAAATGTTTTTTTTTTTTGTGTACGTATTTGTAATTTAATATAAATTTCATTGCACCTACCACTATTCACTCTGGACTACCTTTGGTTGACTGGCAGAGAATGCCTTAGGCATTAAGTGCGCCAATGTAAGTTTTACATGAACTGTAATAAATAAATAATACTTAACTTACATCCAATAGAATCCCTCAATTAATTGATATGCATCTTCTTCAATGTAGGCAATTATTCAAAACGGCTGAGGACTGGTGATTTCACTGGTCCCTAAATAGATAACTAGTTGTAAACAATTTTTTTGTTTCCCTCGAACGCAGCCAAGAGTTGTTGATGTGGCCTGGCAGATGTGGAGTGAACGCAGTAGACAATGGACATCATTCAATACTAGGGGTACAGCGAAACAGTTCCCTATTTATGGATCAAACTAAATATTTACTGGTGGTAGGGTCTGTTGTGAGTCCGCACGGGTAGGTACCGCCCTGCCCATTTCTGCCGTGAAGCCGTAATGTGTTTCGGTATGAAAGGTGGGGCAGCCGTTGTAACTATATTGAGACCTTAGAAATTACATCTCAACCTCATCCATATAAGCAATGAATAAGTAAAAAAATTATAATGAAGAATCCGTTATTGTAATTGTAGCCAGTTTTCGACTCCTTTCACACTATCCATATCGATATGATATTATACAAATATATTTTATTGAAATAACTAGTTTTTGCCCGCGACTTCGTCCCCGGGGAATAGTTACTTTGGCGTATATCTACTCTGGCGTATATCAAAAGGGGAAAATACCCCGATTTTGAAACATTATTGGTGCTCCGCTTGGTCCCATTGGTCCTATGGGTCTTAGCGTGATGTTATGTAGCCTATAGCCTTCCTCAATAAATTAGCTATCTGACACTGAAAGAATTTTTCAAATCGGACCAGTAGTTCTTGAGATTAGCGCGTTCAAACAAATAAACAAACTCTTCAGCTTTACAATATTAAATATAGATGAGCTTTTAGCACTATAAAATAGTTTCATTAATTTAAAGTCTACTAGTTTTGGCGCGTTTTTTAGTCGAACAAAAAACACAATACTACAGTTTGTATTTTGTCACATATCTATAGTACCTTTAACATTGGACGCATTACTGCATCGCGGGAGATACAGGTCGGAACGTTGTACATACTGGCTCGCAACCCTAAGCCCAAAAGTTCGTTAACTCGTGCTAAGTATGTTTTAGACAAATTGGTACCTCGCGTATGATTGGAGACGGCACAATCACATCCTTCGCAATGAGTTTACTGGGCGTTTAACCAATAATAATAATCGATCCACTAACGGTGCTTTTAGGTAACTCAAGCACCGGTCATCGTTTTCGTCGAACCCGTCGCTTGCGACGAAGGGCTCGACGAGTAAATTAACCCACAGACACAGCCTACTTAGTTTCTCGCCGGATTTTCTCAGTGGGTCGCGTTTCCGATCCGGTGGTAGATTCTGCGAAGCACGGCTCTTGCTAGGGCTCGTGTTAGCAACGTCATCAGGTTTGAGCCCCGTGAACTCACCTACTAGTTAAGGCGATGCTGTTATAGCATCTCAAGGCTATCAGCTCAAGTAGGAAAAAAAAAAACAATAATGCCCGTTTGTTATGACATGAAGTTATTCTTTTATTGCAGGGCTTGTTCGTAACGTGTTAGGTTCATAATTATTTATTGTCACTTGACCCAAGATCGACCCCGGAGGTAAATATTTTAGGTTAACGTTGATTGACCTTTCGCTTATCAAGCTATTAAGTTTAAAGCTTCGAATACCGATTATGTACTTTACTAAACAGAGATTTACATTTGACATTTCCACTACATCATTGAGAACGTTTCAATAAGATAACAAATCTATTAAGACACTTCGAATGTATTTATTGGATTAATAGGAAAGAGGGTGCCTACTTATTGTTAACGGGAGGGAAGGTTAAATGGAATATAAAAAGTAGATTGTGTAGAGTAGGGTATAGCGATTACTTGTTCTTTTGCACAAGAATTTGGTGGAAGGTTCTAAGTTATCATTATCTGTACGATGAGAGAATCTGGGCTGAAAGGATGCAGGACGAACCCTGACCATCGTCACTTGAGTACGACAGGTCCTGTCACCGCCACCGCTATAGGTCAAGGAAGAGAAGTACACAGGGCGGCGGCTCGAGGCGCGGACGGCGGGGCGGCACGTGGGCGGCGCGGTTTGTGTACGGGCGGGCGGCGGCAGTCCCGCGCGCACTCGCCGCGAGCGCCGGTCTGCACGCCTCGGATCCAGTTCACGGCCGCTCTATTACCGGACCGCTATTTCGGCGCATAATACACCGCACGGTGCGGAGCGGCGATCAGTTTCGCGCGGGCAGGTGCGCCGGCCGAGGTCGGGAGATGCCNCGGGGCGACACGTGGGCGGCGCGGTTTGTGTACGGGCGGGCGGCGGCAGTCCCGCGCGCACTCGCCGCGAGCGCCGGTCTGCACGCCTCGGATCCAGTTCACGGCCGCTCTATTACCGGACCGCTATTTCGGCGCATAATACACCGCACGGTGCGGAGCGGCGATCAGTTTCGCGCGGGCAGGTGCGCCGGCCGAGGTCGGGAGATGCCGCTCGAGCCCGCCTGACCCCGTGCGGCCATGGAGCGCCGCCGCCGGCCCGACTCCGACCCCATGACGAAGGTCGTGCGTCGACGCGAGAAGCCGCGCGAACGCTGGCTCCTCACGCGCAAGACATGGAAGTACATGTCCGACGCCGGCCGCCGGCTCGTCCCGGACGGCGCACAGAACCGCCCCGAAGACGTCGGTCGCATCGAAGCCTACTTCCAGGAAGTGTGCGCGAAGGAGCCCCGCTTTGTACTTCGCCGTAAGAGTTCGTACCCGGCGGCACTGCCCAAGCCTCGTCGCAAGGCGCGGCCCCGCGGCGGCTCGGTCCGGGCGCGCTCGCCCTCCGACGACGCGCCGCCGCGACCCACGGATCTCTTCGTCGGCCACATCTCCGGCGGTCGCTTCGATATAGCCAAACTTCGCAAGAACTTTTTCGCCGCTCCGCCCCCCTCGGCCTCCTCTGCCGGGTTCAACTCGAGGGGTCCGCATGACGTGCACTTCGATCTTCGATCTCCGCCCGTCATAGAGGAAGAAACGAGCCTTGTCGATCTGTTGAGAAAATACCTGAAGCTTGAGGAAGAATCCTCTGCGCAAACAAAGATTTCTGAGACGGAAGAGCTTATACGTGCGTTACGTGAATATTTGAAGCGGAACGCGGAGCGTGCCCCTTCGGACGCGGATGGCGACCCCGCCCAGCGCCATCTGCTCGACAGTCTGAGCAGGCATTACATTCGTTCTCCGAATCGAGACGTGGTAGTTCAGGATCTATTAGCCGATAGAAATTTGTTAAAAAGACTATATCATGATCTTCGTAAAACTAAGCCATATCGCGGCGCTAGGAGTGGAGGTAGCGGTGGTGGCGGAAGTGGTGGAGGCTATTCGCCTGGAGTTTACGGTTCGTGCACCAGCTCTAGGTGTGCTCTGCGTCCTCGATCATTGGGTGGAACTCTTATTAAAAACGGCGAAGGTGGGCGCTCCCCGCCGATGTCACCGCCGCCCCTCATTGAAGTGTTTCAAGAGTCGTTTGAGGATAAATTTGTAAATCGAGCGGTCCAGACTCTTCCGATTCCAGAAGACGTGTTATCTGAGCTCGAAAGAGTGTATCGAGAGAAGTTGGAAGCGGCGACCGCGCCGACCAGTCCAACGAGCCCTCCGCCGGAGCGCAAGCCGGGACGTCGCCGCTCCAGCATCGATCACGACGACGTCTCCCAGTCGGTCAGCGACACCATTAAACGATACTTAAGGATGGCACGAAAGAAAAGCGTTGACTCTGAGAAAGTGGATCGCTTCAAGCGAATCAATTACGATAAGAACTTGCGGAATATCAAGCCCCGCATGCCCGGGGAGGTAGACGACGACGGCCCCCACAAGGGCTGTCAGACTGAAGAAGGGTGGATTCTGACGTACAGAGACTTGCAGTTCGCATCGGTGGCGTCGACTCCGACGTCGCCACCTTCCCCGGCCTCACCGTCACTGTCGCACTCGTTTCTGTCGACGCTGTTGGGCCGAAGTGCTCCAGCGGTCGCTCCGCCCGCAGGTGGCATGCAGAAGTCGCGGTCCTCGAGCAGCGTGGTGCAGAGCGTCAGCAAGCGGCTATGGCGGACGCGCAGTCGAAGCTCCAGCCGCGCCTCCTGCACCTGGTCTCCTCAGGTCAGTCGCATTGTATTCTAGCTTGTTGTGTTGACCTTAAGCTTACTTTCGGATTAACTTATAAAAATAGAGTCACGATTGAGAACATATATTTTATTTATTTATTTATTTCTTAGATGGGTGGACGAGCTCACAGCCTACCTGGTGTTAAGTGGTTACGTGGTTACTGGAGCCCATAGACATCCACAACGTAAATGCGCCACCCACCTAGAGATACAAGTTCTAAGGTCTCAAATATAGTTACAACGGCTGTCCCACCCTTCAAACCGTAACGCATTACTGTTTCACGGCAGAAATAGGCAGAGTGGTGGTACCCACCCGTGCGGATTCACAAGAGGTCCTACCACCAGTAATTACGCAAATTATTATTTTGCGGTTTTCATTTTTAGTACACGATGTTATTCCTTCACCGTGGAAATCAATCGTGAACATTTGGTAAGTACGTATTTCATTAGAAAAATTGGTACCCGCCTGAGATTCGAACACCGGTGCATCGCTCAACACGAATGCATCGGACGTCTAATCCGTTAGGCCGCGACGACTTTCTTATTAGAACATTTCATTCTTAACATTATCAATCACAATGTGGCGCTCTCTATCAGTCAGCACCAAGTAACAATGTTGTCGTTGCAATTATAAGCAGCCTCGTGTCATGATGTGTGACTCCTCAAATAGAAACGACCTTCAGTTCAGACGCGGTGCTTCAACGCGCCCGCGAGCTGCATACCACATTACTTCTCTAAGAAATTGGCGAATAATTTCTGTGGCGGACATTAATCGTTCTTCCAACGGTCTCCATGAAGGATAGCCGTCGGAGTGGACGCGAGAGCTACGATTCGCTTTGACTGGCTACATTTTAATCGCATTTAACTTGTACGTTTGGAAAATTTGGACTTAAACTAACAGTTCCAATGGCGTTGTAAAAGCAACTAACATTGCGCGCGATTATGCTATTTTAATGATCGTTGTTATGCTTGTGCAATGCGACAGAAAGTAACTGTACACTTGAAAGCAATTTACCGTCGTCAATTTAAGTAAATTATTGTTGCTCAGAAAAAACATGTTTTCTTTTTGTAGGTAAACAAAAATGTTATAAAATTTCAATCTTTATGGTTCTTCAGATTTACATCTAATGAATGTACTATGGCACTGAGATATAGAACTCATGTCTCAAGGTGGTTAGCGACGTTCACGTGGGATTACCTATGGGTCCCAAACAATCAACTAAAAACCAATAGACTCTAGTCTCCCTATTTAAAGTAATGAATACGCAATTTTAATCTAATTTAAATTGTTGTTTAACTTCATTGGAATAATGGCTAAAATTATAGTGCGTGATTGTTTAGAATCAGAAATATATAGGACGGCAGTACCATCGTCCGTAAGCTAATAACACCTGTTAAGATGCTGTAATAAACAATGAAGATCACTGTTCATTCTTGCTACCTAGAACCGACGCAACCATACTGCATTGTGAGGGTTAATTTTTCTGCTATGTACCATCCAGAACGACCTTTCTCTAAGCGTTATTAACTTACATGTCTTTTTTCAAATAAAACGTTCCACTTTTCACGAGGTAACTATATAAATCTACTTAGTCTGGCCATAAATACTGTTACAATTAAAAATAAACAAAATATTACATTTGAATTTGGAATCTGTCATTTTTATATGATTGCTCATTGAGTTTTCTCATTTTGGCGCCAATACATTGTACAATATTTTGCGATATTAAAATGAAGTGGGGTGATAAAGAGAACCGAATCGCTGTGATTGCATTACACAAAGTAGGTATGGAGTCAAATGCAATTTTTAAAACTCTCTCTTTCTAAATTTTTATATATTTTAAATATAGATACAGACAAGACGAAACACAAAAATAAATGTCACGTTATGTATTTCGCATTCATTATAATTAAATTATTCTTAACACATTAACATATTCACGATTATTTTCCTCTCGAAGTTTCCAGCGACTTGTCAGGCCATCTTAATTTTAATAATGACAGTATTGAAACTAAAAAGCAGAGGAGTCCATTAATTCAAGTCGCGCATTGTTTGTCATTTACTAATTGATACGCTTTTCATCTCGACATCTCTTAATTGTAACAGAATATCTTGAACCGAGAATATTTCGGCCCACACCGGGCACCCACTTGCACATAAGCAGCAACGTAGGCGTACACATACATATCTGAGACAGAACACATATTTTGATACTAGCTTTTGCCCGCGACTTCGTCCGCGTGGAACAAATAGTTCGCAAATAATGCTTTATTTTAGAAAAAAAATTGTTAGCATAAAAAACGTTATTGTGAGGCAACCTTAACATATAGACGTATACTGTCTTATTTTAGCGAAACTTTAACCGTTTCTGCAGTGCACGCAGCGGAAGCTCTCAAAAGGGAAAAAAACCCGATTTTGAAAGATTCTTTATTAGTGCTCCGCATTGTGAACAGTGGTGGATTTTCACTAGGGTCAGTCGGGGCAAGTGCGCAGGGTGGCAGTTTTTTTGGGCGGCAATTTTTTTGGAATATATAGCATATGATAAAGTTTCCGCAATAAATTAGTTATTTTAATTAATTTATGTATTTAAATTAATATTTAATTTAAGTAGCTTTACCTACATAATTATTATTTTTGTTCATTTTTTTAGATATAATTAGATTAGTCATTGTTGTTAGTTGTGTCATTATCTGTTTTTTATCAAGAACTAAACTTTTAATTTGGAAACATAAAATATATAAACTATAAGTTTAGGTAACATTCCAGTATTGGGGCGGATTTTTTTCCGGTGCCCACGAGCGGCATTAAGTTTAAATCCGGCCCTGATTGTGAACCACTGCCTCGGCCTTCAAGCCCAAGATCTGATACCTAATCATGCCGGCTATAATTTTAAACGAGCGCTTTCATTTAGCTTCATCTCGAAAAATATCGTATAATATGTAGCAATGTCCTATAAGATAACCCTGCTTAATACAGTCCAAACTTAATATAACGAACCTCAATATAACGACGTCCTCGATTCAACAAATTCTTCGTAATCCCCGTGAATTGTCCATAAGAGTTAATGTCAAATATACCTTTACATTGCGAAGATATCTTGCGAACAACCTCTTTATAACGAATTTTTACTTCTAAAGAAAGTGTAAATACCTCTAATTAACGAATTTTGTCAACCCAAAATCTTTATATAACGTTCCCACCGATATGACCCATAATCCCATAGTATGTGAATCATCTTGACAGGTTTGAGAAAAATTGTTACCTGCCTAATTGTTTCTAAATAGAAAAGACATACAGTAATTTGATAAAAATGTGTTATCATCAAGATGAGTACGTAATGGTAGATCAACCTAACCTTAATATAACAAACCTCGATTTACCGAATTACTTGATATAACGAATATTTACTAGTTCCCTTCCGATTTGTTAGATTGAGGTTGCCCTGAATTTCATCTGTTCGAGATGATCTTTTACCACAACACCGCCGCGGGAAGAAGCTTCATCGTTACCCGAAACCGCAGGAGTTTCACATTGTCACTGGTTGATTCACACCGCCTGATTGTACCATGGATATTGCTTGTGTAACGACGATCAGTTATCATCAAGACAGCTCTATGTTACTTGATTTATCCTCCTCCTCCGTGCGCTGTGTTCCTCAGTGCTGAGGATCGTGACCTATACGGAATACATACGTAAAGGTTTTCTTGGGAAAATTGCTAGTGGTGGGTTCCCGCGTCCTTCCGCAGAACTTGAACTTGATTTATAAAGGCTATAAAATCTGTAAAACTGCCAATGAAATACTAAAGCTATCGCAATTATTATAGCAATTGATAGATGTCGTGATATAGAGAGGTTAATAGATATAAGTCAACACAACGAAATCGCATTAAAAAGTGTTCTATTATCATCATTTAAAGTTATCGTCGTTAAAGCTATTTAAATACAAAAATAAGTCTATAGTCCGAGTTTTAGTGAGCCATGTTAATTGTCCTTGAAAATTAACTATCTCCTATCTTTTTGCACAACAAAAACATAAAGGGTAGGACATTCTTTGAAGCATAGTGTTGTAACGACGAATTCTTCTCTTCTTTGTCTCTACCTTATCCCACTAGGCGGGGTCGGCACAGCTAATTTTTCTCTTCCGTTCTCTTCTATCAGCCGTCATCTCAACACTCACTTCTCTCTCTCTCTCATATCGTCATTCACAAACTCGATCCATGTCTTCTTCGGTCGACCTCTTCCCCCTCTACCTTGCACTACCATTTCCATACGTCTCCTAGTCACATGCATCTTCTCTCTACGCATTACATGTCCATACCACGCTTGTACCGCGCGTTGTAACGACTAATATGTTAAAAATACTTATAATAATAATAATAATAATATAGCCTTTTATTCAGATCTTTTAGTACAATGAATTTTTAAACTTAAAAAGACTAACATTCAAATCTTAAACTTAATAGACATGAATAAATTTAAACTAATATTTGTTGCTTGGTTATCTTTCCTAGATCTGTTTGCCAGTCGGCAAAGGCCTCCTCCAACCTTTTCCATTGGTTGTCTTTAGACGTTGGAGGGTTGTGGTCGCTTTCCCCCTCGAGGACCAGTCGGCTTGGGGGAGTTCGTTCATTTTTTGTTTCTTTATTAACAGTTTCTCTGGTTGGTTTTGGTTTCCGTTTGCCGTTCCTTAGTTGCTATTGGTTTTTATTAGTATTAGGGATGTTCGAAAGGGAGCTGGATCTATGTCGCATTAAATCAAAAGCATTTGACCAGTTTGTCTTTATTGTGTTTACGCTTTGTTCCTTTTTTGGTTGATTATTATCTGAAGAAGGTGAAGGTTAAAAATACTTATCATAATTGATTCATATGGTCCATCAGGCAATAGCTTATTTCGTTTTTTCGATTACCGCAAAACGTTATAATGAAAACGTAATGTAACGAAAATGTTCGCGGGCTAATTCATTTCGTTTGTCGACCGATTTGTTGTTTGGGAAGTCCACGTTCGAGACGCGAAAATATCTCATAATAACATCTATATTTATAAAAATGAATTGCTTTTCGTTAGTCTCGCTAAAACTTGAGAACGGCTGGACCGATTTCGCTAATTTTGCTCTTGAATTATTTGCGGAAGTCCAGAGAAGGTTTAAAAGGTAGATAAAAATATGAAAATGCTCGGAATTAAATAAAAACGACAAATTTGTTTTTCCTTTGATGTATCCCCCGTCGGACGGATTCCTTTTGTTTCTTTTAAGTTTTTTTTATGCAAAAGTTTATGTATTTTATTTATCGATTGAGGCACTACGAAGTCTGCCGGATCAGCTAGTCTTTGATAAATTATGTATGATATTTGATGTTAAAATGTTTTTAAGATTTAGTTAAATATTTAATTGTTCGACATTTACGCGTGCGATTTTAATGATAATCCTTTTGATGTTTTACCGATACCTAATTTCTTGATATTTGAATCTTTTATATTATTTCGTACTTTAATAATATCGAGTGGTTTGTAATTGAAGGATTCTAAAATTAGAACAGTCTTCATAGCCATTTAATTTTACAATTCAATATTAATTGGTTGAAACGTCGATCTTCTGTTTCCAGGATTAATATTGGGCTAATTTAAAGGTCCTAATGGGCAAAATAATAAAACGAATGTAAACGAATGTACGAAATAGTAAATTTTCAAGTTTTCAAGTTAAATTCCGTTGAAATATTATTTAAGATCTAGCTATTTTTTATTGCCCTTGTAGGCAGACGACCCACCTGATGATAAGTGGTTACCGTCACCCATGGATGTCAGCAATGCTAGGGGCAAAGTCAAGCCGTTGCCCACTGCTAATAATAAGAGCGTGTTAAAAATTAATCACAATAATCATTACATTCCTATTCTCTGTCGGGTTCATGACACGTGCTAAGACTTGGTTCAATAGCGTGGCCAGATATATAATGCTCGAATAATAATCATTCATGGTTCAATTTCCTTTAACTTGTTTCATTACATCTATATACGTGAAGCAAAAACTTTAACGGCCGTCTGGTGTAGTTGTAAGTGACATGGTCACTACATAAGGGGGTCGCAGGTTCGAATCCCGCCGAGGGAAGATATTTGTATGATAAATGTAAATGTCTTTTCCAGGGTTATGGATGTATATTAAATATATGTATGTGTATAATAAAAATCTTACATTTATTTCCGTTATCTGGTACCTGTAACACAAGTTCTTTACGAACTTATCACGGGACCAGTTAACGTGCGCGGACGGAGGAGTATGAAATTTCCCACACTTATAGAGAACATAGAGAAGGAGTGCAGAATGCTAGATTTTTTTTAATTATGCTTTAATAATACATTAAATCGATAAATAAAACATTACACACCTACCATGTATTTGACGCACACACGCATGCATACTATATCTGTTTATTAATTCTCAAACTTTTCTTATTGGATATAGTCTGTGGGCAAATTGAGAATAGATTTAATATTGTTTGTCTTTATTAATATTTGTCTATAGTGTCGAATTCTGTGATTATAGAAGTATAATAAATAGTCTTTGACAATAGAACCGTAATAATGTTCAAACTTATAATTTCAATTAATTATAGTCGAATTTCGACTACTGCGGGACCACTAGTTAACATTAGTTCTCTAATGCTGACATCTTTTGCTTGTCACTTGTAGCGTAAAAAAAGCTATTGTTTTAAATATTTATAAGGTGATTTAGTCCGATGAGTATAATAGTGTAAGTTAATGTACAAAATAATACGTGCGTATTGTGTTGCTTATGTTTTTTTGTAACTTAAATTCCTAAATTTCTCTTCTCTGTTCACTTTCTACTACTTATATTTTGATTGTGGAAACATATTTGGTTATTGTTTTAGCTATTTTTTTTAAATATTATATGTTTGTATTGTACTGTTTGTTTCCCAAATAAATAAATAAACATTGTTGTCTGATACCATCTCACATTTGATAACGTGTTAAGCGTCAAACTTCTCAAACTAAGCATACAGTCCCGTCTTCTTCAAGCGTAGGACTCTTAACCTTCTGAGTTTAAGCGGATCGGTACTTATCATTAATCATCATCATTAACCTACAGTCCACTGTTGGACATGGACCATTCCCAACGTCACGCGACCTGACCATTGCTCATCTCACCTTCGTTTTTCCGCAACACAATCATCTGCATACAGCTAAGACTTCAACACCTCACTGTACACAGTTTTTCGCGTTAAGTTCTGATGATCAAAAACAAATATGAGGTCTAGTATTAGACAGTCCTGTAAAAACTGAGACCTTAGAACTCATGTCTCAAGGCTGGTGGCGGCATTTACGTTGTAGATGTCTATAGTCTCTTACCACCTAACATCAGGTGGGTTGTGCCAACCAAACTAAGCAATAAAAAAAATAGTTTAAAAAAACTAACAAAATATGCTTTTACAGAAAATCCAACTGAAAAATAGAATTTTTTTTTTTATAAATTTGAATTAAAAATAGCGTAAGAAAAAATCATTTTATTGTAGAAAAGCGTGGGGTGCTTTTCAGGATATTATCAAAATAACCCTTCTACTCATATCTGTTCATAAAATATTTATAACTACTGATACCATGCACCCCACGCTTTTTTTAGTAAGAGCTTCTATAAAAGCGTATTTTGTTAGTTTTTTCAAACTATTATTTATTTTAAATTTTTTAGTTCAATTTCAATTTTTTCAATTTTATTTTCATTTCTTTTTCAATATTGAGTTATTCTCATCGGTCCTTAATAAGTATACCAAATTTCGAGTTAATCCGACGTTTTGAAGGGGGTCAAAATCATGTTCAAAGATACCGTTACATACTAAACATACATACGTCTGAAGCTAATAAAAGCGTATTATAAAGGCAGTTACTAATTCCCCCATGAGTTTAATTCCCGCTGAAATAGAATTCGGAGAGCGCGGTGATGTCTTTTATCGTTGGCTTAAGGAAGCGGTTGCATCTAGTAATTTCCTCATATAACAATAAGTTGGTGTGTGACGTCACGCGTTATGTGCAGGGCAGCTGTTGCTGGGTAGATGGAAGCGGGAGGTGCGTGCGGCTCACGGATACTTCGCTTCTGTCCCTCACCGAAGTGGAAAGGAGGGCGCTGCAGCAGGCCGCGCTCGCGAGACTCCAGCAGATCAACTTAGGGACCACCATCAAGATTCCGGAAGGTAAGATTTCAGATTTCAAACTAGCGCTTTTTTTTTTTTCAGGATATTGTTATACTAACTTTTTTTTAGAGACTTCCACAAATAATACAAGACCAAAATTAGCCAAATCGGTCCAGCCGTTTTCGAGTTTTAGCGAGACTAACGAACAGCAATTCATTTTTAATATATTATATATAGATAGAAGAGAGATAGATAGATTTATTTTTATGTACAAAGATTAATTGCATAGAAAGATGGATGAACTCACAGCCCACCTGGTGTTAAGTGGTTACCGGAGCCCCTAGACATCTACAACGTAAATGCCGCCACCCATCTTGAGATACGAGTTCTAAGGTCTCAGTATAGTTACAAAGGCTGCCCCCACCCTTCAAACCGAAACGCATTACTGATTCACGGCAGAAATAGGCAGGGTGATGGTACCCACGGAATAGATAAATAAGGTTGGAAAGGCCTTTGCTCTAATTTTGTATTAGAACCAGTGTCGCCGCTTCATCCCCACTATTTTAATTTCTACACATACACGTACTGTCATTACAAGTATTTCGCACACAACAAAAACACCCACACATAAATCTCAGGGCAGATATTCGTTCGCAAACTAGCACAAAACTCCTGTAGGCATACACACTCACACACGCAAAAAGGCAATAAAAATGTTCATACACGCTAGTGCTTGATAAAACCGATATTCTTTAACGATAAATTATCTGATGAATGAATGGGGAAAAATGAAACACGAAATAAATATTGAAAAAAAACTATTTTATTTTATTAATTACAAATAATCACTGTCCCTGGTATAAAACGTATTTGTTAAGCAGTTGGCGCTTGCTATTAATTGCGAATGAATTTTTCAAAACAAAGTGTTTTATGGTAAAATCATTTTCAGTAAAATGTTTAGAGCAAATAGTACTCGTCTTTGTCTCCAGCTTCCTCTACCTGTCACGTCAATCCATTGTTCCCTGGCGTTAGGTTCTTTAGGAAACCTAAAATTTTTTATTTAATGCATAAGTCAAATAGTATTTTACTTATATTTTAATAAATCTTAGACAATATAGTAAATACCCGTAAATGAGAGGTCTACATGTCTCTTTATATTATACCTTCACATTAATTCAATGATAATAATTCAATAATAATAATACATATTTATTTTACTCAAAATACGTCTCACTAAGAATATACTAGGTATCATTAATTAAATATAAAATAATACAAAAATTATCCATGTCAAATGTAAATATAGTCGAGAATTCTGTCGATGATTTTATTTCACCACATGGTCACCTCACTATCGACAAATAGCGCCGTCCAATCAGGGCAAAGGCCGAAATTTCAAAGATTGAAGTGTAGAGAACGCAATGCATGTAGTACATTGGAAGCGGACTTGGTCATTGCGTGCATTGGGCGAGTACACATCGCGCAATGTATGCTATTTATAACTTGTTGCAATAATATTGTTAATGTTTGGAATTTCATAATGCTCAGTATATTTTTATGTTTTAGACAAATAATATTGTAATTAAATGGTAATTTCGACTTACCGATCGAAAGATATACCTCCTCGCTCTATACTTGAGGTCTGACTTTTTGTTTTACAAGTTATAATTGCACAACACGGCATTATAAAGCGGAGATCTGTTCGCCCAAATAGTCCGAAGCGCACTAAACGCGGTGAATGAAAGAATCGGTCGAGTTATGTTTGTAGAATCATAACTGTGGCACGCTTGCCCCGCCTACATTACCATTCCAACCTTATTTATCTATTCCGTGATGGTACCTACCCGTACGGACTCACAAGAAGTTCTACCACCAGTACCTAATTAGGCAATCTCGGTAGGCAGCGGTTTGGTTCTGCTCCTGGCATTGCTGAAGTTCATGGGCGACGGTAACCACTCACCATCAGGTGGGCCGTATGCTCGTCTGCCTACAAGGCAATAAAAAGATTTCGGAACTTGTATATAAGCAAGCTTATCTTGAAAATGTCGTAAGCGAGATTCAGGCATCTGTCAAATGTATTGCGTTGTATGATGGCTACCCGCCACACACACATACTAACAAAATACGTATGAAGCTAATAAAAGCGTATTAAAAAAACCAAGACTTATTATGGATCGATCACTGTAATTGATGGTAGCCGCACTGTCCTATTATATCTATTTATATATCTACTCGTCTAACATTCGATAATGATTTCTATGTTTTTTTTATATCCATAAATCTGTTGCACTCTCTTAAACATTAAAAACACCAAATTCCCGTTCTCACTAGTCACGGCTCGATCTCTTCACATCCGTGAGCACACGAGGAACTAAAAAAAATCTAACGTAAATAAGCCCGAAGGTTGTCGAAGCGTTTTTAAAATAACTCACGACACGTGTACATATATACAATGACGTCACACGCTATAATTTATATATATTGTCGTATAAAGCCAGGAAAATATGAAACAATGAACGGTATTTTTATAGGTGTGTTGGCTAAGAATTTATTTCGCCCGCGAGTGAAACGCGTTCGGCTTAAATTTTGTACGTGACATTACTTTTTATGAAAGATTACTGGTGGCCCGGAGGCCTTTCCAGTTTCACCAGGAGAGGTGGGCGAGCACAGGCTCAGCCAGGGGGGGTGGGATTTGCTAACAACTGCCCGTGCGCCTCTACCTAACAACTCAAGAGCAATTGCTTCGCGAATGAATCTACTACCGGATCGGAATCGCGACCCGTTGAGAAGATCTGCCGAGAAACTCAGCGGGCTGATGCATGGGTTAGGTTGCACGTCGATCTCTTTGTCGAGTTCGACGAGTACGGCTACCGGGGTTCCTAAGGCTGATAATAAGTGTGCTACGATTTTGGCCTTCGAAATCCACTCGTGTAAGCTTTTCATGCACTACCCCCGCACGCGATCGAGAAATTATTAAAATTCCGCCATGTCTATAGTTGTGGCGCTCCAGTAATGCGTTTCGGTTAAGATAGGATAACCATTATAACATTCGCGTCATGTTACAATGATGTCTATGGACTGGTTGTCTGACTGAAGAAAAAAGTTCCCAATTGTATATGATCATGTCCTCTGACTAAGAATCGAATGAACTATTAAACAAGATACTATAACATAAGTGGTATATCCTATGTGCTAAGGTGTTTTTTTAGATATTATTATCTTTGACATAAATCCTCGCTTCAGAGTTTTTTCAGTACGCTCTCCTAGGTTATGAATTCACAACTTATTCATTAACACCATTTCTATCACCTGGTTGCTGCTTGTGTGACTATCATTTTGATTTTAGCGCTTTCCGTAAATAGTTTCCTCATGCAACTGTTGATTAAATTACCACTCTCTAATGGCGCGATCGTCAAACTCGATCACGGCTTAACTACGAAGTCTGACATTTTATTAGCTAGCTATCAAGACAACGACAAAAATTATGTTCGAGGTATAAAATTCAATCATTCAAAACAGATAAATTATGTTAGCATTACGAAAACAAACCGTTAAAGACGGACGGACACACGTAAAACGTAACTGAAAACAAACAAACAAAGAATAATCACTCAATCGACATATCGCTGCGGTATAATTTACGGCATCGTTAAAACATTAAAATATTTTGACAGGCGCCCGACAACACGAGCGGGCGCAGGTGACACACTCTCCTATAAATAAAATGACAGATGCATTGAATGCGCGCGAATGGGTTTATTTCAAAATGGCGGTCGGGCAGTGGGTAAGAGCGCGCGCCATTACGCAAACGTGACGCCGCGTGACGTCACCGCTGACACCGCCCAGCGCGACACGCGTAGGGATAACTGTGAGCTTAGTGCGAGTTTTTTAACGTTTTAACGATATCGTAAAAGTTAACTCAAATTTATATGCATTTGGAACAGCGCCCCTAGCGGCAAACGTAAGCAAATGTTCCAACTCCATACTATACATATTTGAGTTAACTTTTACGCTATCGAGAACGTTAGAAAATTCGGAGTAAGCACACTGGATACACGTTTAAGCCTCTGCATTTAAGTTTTAGTTCAAAACTGTAGTTAGCACGTAGATAGTCAGAGGTATTCTTCTTCTCTTTTTTGCCGGTTTTGTAGGGTCATCACAGCATTTCTTTTTTGTTGATGTAGGGTCAACACAGCATATCTTTTTAGTTGCATAGAGATTTGCACGAGTTTTACGACTGGCTGGCCTTCTGACGTGAACCCTCCTAGGGTTACATCTCCGGTAGTATATTCCTTATGTCATATGGATGGACCTTTTCTCTCTCTTCTTTTGGTGTTTCTTTTACTCTATCATTTTTTTCTATGAATCGTATTTTATTATTATAAACATTTACATTAAACTTTAGATTTTTAAATACTGAAGGGCGATTTCTATCAGACCTATTTCAAAAAACATTAAGCAGCTAACATAATTATTTTTATCAAGATTACAGGCTGAAATTTCAAAGTACTTGCAAAGCTATTTTAAAAAATATATTTGCTTCGTCGGCAAACGAATCTGTTAACGTTATTGGCATAATAATTAAGAAACGTCACGACATCTAATAAAACTTTCACGAGGAATTAGAAAACGTGGGCTCTGTTCATTTTTCATTTTTATCCCATACGATCTATATAATAATCACCTCAATGGTCGAGTTGTGATATTAATTACCAAATCAGAGGCTTAACAAATCATCCGGTCATTGTTTTCGTCAAACCTGTCGCTTACGACGAAGGGCTCGGCGCGTAAATTAACCCACAGACACAGCCCACTGAGTTTCTCGCCGGATCTTCTCAGTGGGTCGCGTTTCCGATCCGGTGCTAGATTCTGCGAAGCACTGCTCTTGCTAGGGCCAGTGTTAGCAACACACCCAGTTTGAGGTGTGTTTGAGTTTGAGTTGTAGGTAGGAAAAAAAAGAGGCTCAATTCGCGACCTAAGTATCTTTGTTTAAGATATTTGTTTGTTTATACATTTGTGAGTGTACTTATCTCTAACATCGATTAATTTTCCGCCAGCGG